AGTGCTCACCAGTGATATAATAATAAAATTATTAAAACAAAAAACAATTGATATCCAAACAAAACCATCTAAAATTTAAAAAAATTGTGCCAAGTAAAAACTTGAGAATTTACCAACAGTCAAAATTTTTCTTAGCAGTTTCTCTTTGGTAAAGATAAGCTTGGCACTTTCAAAGCAGTACTCACAAGATTTTTACCTGTATTATTGTTTTCTACATTTCACTTCAAAGCAAAATGTAGAAAACAATAATACATGTAAAAATTTTCTTTCCTGATAGTGTCATAATAATATTTGTGTGAAATGCTGTAAATAATTGGGTACTGCTGAATTAAGTGTATTAACTTGTCATCAATAATTTTGAATAAAAACAAAACACAATCAAGTGCAACAAAAAATTTTCAGCAAACAGAAGCAATTTTCCTTATTTGCAATAAAAGAAAGTTGTCAGTGTGCCTGTGCACTATTTTGAAATCAGTCAAAATATTCCTCCTCTGAAAACTGATTTCAGTCCAATCTCATATGAAGTTTCTGATCTGATCCAAATTAGTTTGCATAGTTCCACTTCAATACTTGTTATAAAAAAATTTTTACCATTTTGATCTGATCCAATGTAGTGCTTAAGAATATTCTAAAGCTTGCTAATCCAAGCTTTAGAATATTCTTACAAAGCCAATGATTTTGTTTCAAACACAAATATAACAAAATTATACATATAATATTGAACTGAGATGATGCATCAGCCTACATTGCCTGACTATGTAAATTTGCACCTAATGTACTTTGTTTGCATTCTGTAAGCATTATTCACAAATTCTGTGTGTATGCTGGAAACTTTTTTATGTAAGTATGGATTTAGGCATCAAATTTATTTAAGTAGAGGTCTGTCTGTATCTAAAAAAAATGCTCAAAAATAAATGATCAAGAATTATATCATATCCACAGGAGTTGTGCTGCATAAAGCTAAAATTGTCATTTGAAATATTTTTATTAAAGTGGCGATAAAAATCCTAGTTGCTTCTTTCGGACATTCAACATAAAATTGAATCACAAAGCACACTTCAGGAAAAACAGCAAAATGTCAAGCTTCTGTGCAATGGGAATGCCATGCACCACACACCTAGCAATTTCAGGATGTCACATGGCAAGCTCAGGCAGAAAAGCAGGTGACATTGAGAACCAAAGGCAGTTTTGTGCAATGCCATCCAGTGTTTCCAGACTGGAGATTTCTTATCAACTGGCATAAAATTTGAAAAATTTTTTGAGGTGACCTTTTTTACTCTGATCTTTTTTAGTAGACAAACAAAAATTTTTACATGATAGAATCTGTGAAATACTGTTTTAATATCGTAATCAAATGTATTATTTGGAACTATTCATTAAAAATTGTTCAAAAATAATTCCTATTGCTAACAATGATAGGGTCAGATGTTTAGGTCTTCAATTCCTATGAAACCTGGTAAGCACTTAGTCTTAAACACTAATAGCTCCTTGTCCAAATAATAGGACCAACTCCTTAAGCATTTCCCAAAACAAGCCTCTGAAAATTGAGTGTTTAGCTTATAAGCCTTTTAATGTTTCATGTCTCTGAGTGGTGATAGCCAAGCAGATAAGATTCTAGGCACTGAAGCTAGACGATGTATTTTCAAATCTTTGGAATTTTAGTTTAGTTTTTTTTTTTATGTGTAACATTATTATTTTCTGCATCATCACCATTATTATTCCTTATGTTTAAAGCTTATAAAACAAGAGATTAAAAATTGCAACATCATTTCCTGTTTAGATAAAACAAATCTGTAGATTTAATTAAGTCTTTTGCATTGTTAAGTAAGTCTATTATTTCTTCACATTTATTTTTACATATTTTTACATACTATGTCTTCACAAGCAAATAAGCTTCAGATGTTACTGCATGTGGATGAAAAAGACAAGTGATATGAAAATAGGGTAGCATAATCATAGCATTTTATTATTTTTTTAATTGTTAATATTATGGACAATTTCCTCATGCAGTCATGTTTGTTATGCTTCAAATATCACAATACCATTCTATCTGAAAATAAATATGAAGAAAAAAAATTTTATTTAACAACATAAAAGAGTTAAATCTACAGAATTTTGTTTTTGCTAAGCAGAAAATGATGTCACAATTTTTAATCTCTTGTTTTATGTTTTAAACATGAGGAATAATAATAGTAATAATAATGCTAATAATGCAGAAAATAATAATGTTACACATAAAAAAAACTAAATTAAACTAATATTCCAAAGGTTCAAACTTCATTATCTAGCATCTTATTTACTTGGTGATAGCAGAGTAAATAAGATGCATGAAATGTTCAAAGACTTATAAGCTAAACACTCAATTTTCAGTGGCTTGTTTTTGGGAAACACTTGAGAAGTTGGTTCTATTATTTGGACAAAGAGATGTTAGTGTTTAAGACTAAGTGCTCACCAGGTTTCATAGGAATTGAAGATCTAAACATCTGACCATCTTGTTTTAATTGACAGCTTAAAACATTGCTTTGCTTTCCAGACACCAAATTGATAAGGCTACCAGAACCCATATTAATTAGTAAGTAAAACTGGTAGCAATAAATAATTTGAAGTGACAAAAAAAATTTTAAACTGGCAAATGGTTGGAGATATTTTTAAATTTTCCACAGTGATCCCTGTATTCAAGTAACTAATGAATGATTCCAGTATCAGGATAAAGTATATTGAACATAAAATTCACAAAAAATAATTGTTGTCTATATCTTATGAATAAATTTATACATACAGTCAATGCACAAATAAACTCTTCTGTTGTCATGATAAATACAGCCTAAAGTGAAACTGGCCAAACTAAGATTTACTTGGATCTACAGGACAACAGCAGAAAGAGATCCATTAGGACTAATAGCACACTGAGTTAATACACTGTTGTATATTAATAAAAATGCAATGTCAGCAAAAAAATTTTTAATGATATTGTATGTTTTATATTAAAAACAGAATAATGAAAATAAATGTAATAGTAAATCTATTGTAATAAATTGTTAAAAATAAATTAGTAATAATGCACTGAAATTTTGTAATAAAAATTATTAAACTGCACAATGCCAATGAAACAAACAATAATATACAAAAAGAACAGTCACTCCCTACTTCCACTAGCATTATTTTTGAAATGTTCACAAATGAATTTCAAATAAATTTGTAATACTTTATAAATTTGTTATACTGTAAAATATTCTAATAAAAATTGTATAAATGTTGCAATAATTGTGAACAGATATGTTGCAATAAATTCTACATTTTAATATTCCACAAAAAATACGTTAACTTATATATAATGATTTTCCATCATTAAGTTAAAATTTAAAATAAGCAATAGCTTACATTTATTTTATAATATTTTATATACTGTATTAAGATATATTTATGTCCTAATTAAACTAGTATAATGTTCAATTTAGGATAATGAAAAAGTTAAATGTTGAATGATTCCAATAGTTTCAATAATTAATATAAGTTTGTACACAGCTTGTACTTTCACTTATTTAAATGAAATTTTAAAATGATTACTAAGTTAATAACAAATCATAATAATAAGATACTCTTGATTAACTTTTAATTCCATCAAGAAAAATGTTAAAATGCTCTTTTATTAACTAATACATTAATTTTCATTTATTACCTTTATTTTATAAGTCAGTCTAATTTTAGATGAAAGTTTTTTTTGAAATAAGATATATCAATGAATTTTCAAATAAAAAGAAAATAATTATAATTAATGAATACTATTAAAAAGTAAATAATTAAAAATAACTTCTTCATTTAAAACATAATAATAATAACTATTTACCTCATTACTTCTTTTTATGTAGGATTGCCCTTTGGAGAGTTTCATTATAGGAAATTTTCATGTAGAATTTCTGAAAATAAATAAAATTTACATTTAAAATCAAAATAATCAATATCAATTTTTTTATATATATATTTGATTCAAAAATTGAATCATCACTACTCTAAAATACAAATTACTTTTTTTGGTCCAAAAAAATTAACCCCTTTTATATACAGTATAACATAGAATGCTAACAGATTCATACTGTAATATAAGTACAAAAAGCAAATCACAAATAGAATGCTCACTTGGTATTTTATAAAATAGTAACTTAATTATTTAAGAAAAATTTTCATATAACATAATTGGTTTAATTTTGTTATTAAGGAAATATTCTTTTAAAATTTAAGCATATATTTAATAGTTGCACTTAAAGTTATTAAAAAATAATTAAGTCCATTAAATAATCTATTGATAAGACAAGTAGTTCATAAATTAGCTGATAGATTCAACATCCAGTAAAAAGAAAACCTTTCAAACTCTTGAATAAGTTTTAGAAATTAAATAATTCATTTCTTTAAATTTTTAATAATAATGAACATCACATATTTTTACCACTTAATATGCTAATGACACTGATCTACAGCATATAATTACAATAAATAATTGCTTGTTACATTTGTTACTTTTCTTCATTTAATTTTTATCGTTACACCATGCATGGTATTCTATATTTTAATAGGATTAATAATGATCAAATAAACCATGCTTTAGAAGCATATTAATTTATACCTGTTAAATATAATTTTATTCTTTACATTCCATTGTTTATTTTATATTTTAAGTATATATTTATGTCCAGAAAACTGGAAAATCAGAAATCTGGACCATTTCAAGTTCCAAGATTGTTGGATAATTGGTCCAGTACTGTATAATTACATTGCTATTCAACATACTGATGATTATTTTGGCATTAATGACACAAATTTAATACAATGACACTAATATGTATGCTTTAATGAATCGCATAATTTTTAACAATTATGCCATTTATTATCTTAAAATTCTTTTTTTTTTAATTTGTGAATAAATTTGATATACTATTTTTGCACAGAATAATAATAATAGGAAAAACTAGAAGTTTCTATCTAAATTAAAGAACAAGTTATAACAAAACATAGCCAGAAGGAAAAGGAGTGGCACTTTTGTTTATATGTAATATAATACTCTTTTATGATAATAATTATCTTTCCTTTTACTCTTCCTTCACCTTAATTGGAAATAATGTGAAGTGACATAATTCTAATAAAATATTACTAAACCATTCTCATTGTTAAAACAATTTAAAATAAAGGAAAAAATATATTATCAGAAAACATTCCATTGATTTTTATGGAAAAACAGGTTTCAAAGAAAATAAAATTTCAATTGCTATTACAACTGCCATGAAAATTACACTGCTGATTCAAGATATTAAAAATTATGACTTTTTAAAAATAAAATTAAAAAATGTAAAAATTTTAGATATATATTTAAAATTTTTACATTTTTTAGTATATAGTATACTGTATATTAGATCAGTAAATATAAATTCTACAATATAATTAAAATAAAATAGAAAATTTTCTATTTATGACAAGAAATATGTTTTGCAGGCTCTTTGTTGCAAATTAATTGCTTGCATGAATGTGTGATTATACATATGTGTATACACATGTATACAAGTTCCAAAGGATCAGCAATCCTAGGATTACATAAGCAAAATTAAGATTACTGACTACATTTTACACATTGTCCAAAAACAAATTAGGCAAACTTAAGATTGCTTAAAGAGGTTTGGGCAATGTCAGAATTTGATATCGTTGTTTGCACATCACCTACTTTACTGGGCAGAACAGATAAGAGATTTAAAAAAAGAGAGTTTTGTAGAACACTTTACTCAAGAGTAAACCTCACTTATAAGAATTGCTGTCAGTGAAAGGAGAACAAACAAAAATTTAGTGCCCTACTAAAAAGTAGAATGACTTATCCTAGCACAAGATTTTGAATTATGGCATTAAAAATTACATAGCTGCTTTACCTTTTTATGTTTTCATGCATTATTGTGCACTTTTTCATACAATGACATATGATGAATTCTTGTCCACTGAAAGTGGAATAATGATTGCTAATTGGCTTTAGTAAGTACTCTTTGTCAGAGATGCCTTCCATTTTTAAAAAGTTTTCTTGGATTTGAAAAGGGAGAAAATTTTTCTTTTTTTGTTTGTCCAAATTTTGCATAAGCCACTTTTCTGGTATCTTGCTGTCTTGTATATGTTATAGGTAAGAGCTTTGTTTATATATATTTGTATATGTTATAGGTTTGAGCTCAGTTTTATGTCTTTTATATGCCTGAAAGCAATGTCAACAAAACAATAAGTTTACAACATGTTAGGAGTATTAAGTACTGGGGTTGGATGTCACGCCAACAGTTATCTCAATCAAAACTTCTTCCAAAACTTCAGACTATGAGGCGTTAAATATAATTAAAAATAATTTATTCTTGCGAGCGCTTTCGACGTAAATATGCACGTCGTCTTCAGGCAATAGAAATTGAACAGAGAATTCGAACCATACATTTAAATTTAAACATTAACGATATTAGCCGTTTTTTGAATAGACAGCATAGAAACCGAACAGAATAGATCCATAAGTGCTAGTAATGGTGATGCACTTTGGAACTATATGATGGGATCTACACTTGAGAAGAAAGACTAGTTGGGCATGTATTTTATGCCACAACTTTTGTAAATTTAACATAGAAAAGAAGAACATCCGAATTCTGTTACTCATCTTGTTAGGAGTATTAAGTACTGGGGTTGGATGTCACGCCAACAGTTATCTCAATCAAAACTTCTTCCAAAACTTCAGACTATGAGGCGTTAAATATAATTAAAAATATTTTAATCTTGCAAGCGCTTTCAACGTAAATATGCACTTCGTCTTCAGGCAATTCAAAATTGAATAGAGAATTCAAACCATACATTTAAATTTAAACATTAATGATATTAGCCGTTTTTTGAATATAACTATTATAATTTTTCGCATTTACAAAATAATTAATAGCCATTCCAATCGAAGTTTATTTGTTTTAAAACACATGCGTACCAATTTTAAATATTTTTAAATGTTTTTAATTCTAAAATTTAAATCTTATTTATAATAGTTATATTCAAAAAACGGCTAATATCATTAATGTTTAAATTTAAATGTATGGTTTGAATTCTCTATTCAATTTTGAATTGCCTGAAGACGAAGTGCATATTTACGTTGAAAGCGCTTGCAAGATTAAAATATTTTTAATTATATTTAACGCCTCATAGTCTGAAGTTTTGGAAGAAGTTTTGATTGATTTAAATGATTGAATTAATAACAAATTCCATCAGGAATACACCACCAGCAACCAAATATCCAGTGAAATACATTGGAACACATCCTCAAGTTTATTTATGAACTGGCCCAGTAGTAATAATTCTTCTGCCAGGCAGCAGGCAGACTAATTATGANTTTAAATGTTTTTAATTCTAAAATTTAAATCTTATTTATAATAGTTATATTCAAAAAACGGCTAATATCATTAATGTTTAAATTTAAATGTATGGTTCGAATTCTCTATTCGATTTTGAATTGCCTGAAGACGACGTACATATTTACGTTGAAAGCGCTTGCAAGATTAAAATATTTTTAATTATATTTAACGCCTCATAGTCTGAAGTTTTGGAAGAAGTTTTGATTGGGTTTACAACATATTTAGCATTAGAAAACAGGCAGAAAAAATTATATCAGTTTCTGATAAATTTCTAAAGATTGATGAGAGTAAATCTGTAACTGTTAGTACCAAATTTTGATCAATCAAAAGAGGATGCTAGAAATATCACAATATTGGTTCTGATGATGGAAAAGTTGAGGAAACAAAGAGAAAAAATCTCCTCTCTTTTCTCAAGAAACTAGATCCAAGAAAACTTTTTAAAAATGGAAGGCATCTCTGACAAAGAGTACTTACTAAAGCCAATTAACAATCATTATTCCACTTTCAGTGGACAAGAATTCGTCATATGTCATTGTATGAAAAAGTGCTCAATAATGCATGCAAACATAAAATGGCAAAGCAGTTATGTAATTTTTAATCCCATAATTCAAACTCTGGTGCTAATAAGTAAGTGTTAGAATAAGTTATTCATATGTTTTAATAAGGCATTGAAATTTTGTTTGTTCTCTATTTACTGCCATGTTTCAAGTTTTTTATAAGATTCATTCTTCAATACAACATTTTATAAAACTTTCTTGTTTATCTCATACCTATTCAGCCTGGTAAAGTGCAAACAAAAATATCAAATTCAGACATTGCCAAGACCTCTAATATTAGACAATCATAAGTTTGCCTAACTTGTTTTCAGGCAAAGTCCAAAATAAAACTTCATTTTGGTCAATGTGTAAAACATTGTTGGCAGTCCTAGGACTGCTGATCCTTTAGACCTTGCCAGTAACATATATATTATACAAATGTTTTATTGTATTAAGAAAAAATCTTGTTACAGGGGGATTACAATAAAAGTTACATACAATAAAAGTTAGTACATTTTCATACTTTATCAAATATCTGTTATCATAATAAAAAACCCAAAGTTCATAACATATAAATTTCTCAATTCACAACATCTTGTTTTAACATTTTTAAAATATAANAAATGTTTTTGTTATTTTTAAAGCTGCATAGTCATCAAATTGACTAGAAAATATTCGATAAAGATAAACATAATGTAATAAATTTCACAAGTTATTTTGTTATTCAAATGTGTTGTATGAATTTTGTTTCAAATCTATTACTTTTGTAATAGAAAAAATTGTAAAAGCTGATAACAGTAAAAAATGGAAAACTATACAAGCTGCTTTATCAGATCAATTTGAATGAAAATACTAAGAAAAAGAATTGTTTTACAAATTATAAAATAAAAAATTTAAATCTTTGAAAATATTAATGTAACAGAAATAATTTCTAAATCAATCAAAAAAGCTTCAAAGAAGACAGATGTACATCTATAATTCTATGAAACTTTGATTGATATAGGAGTTATTTTTATTATCAAATTATTTCAAACGAGCAAAGATTTATAACTCTACTTTTCTGAATCTTTTTTCTTTTAAATCAAAAATATAAAAATTGTAGAAACAAATTCTAAATATCTCTAAGTTAGTAGTTTAATATTCTATATTCTTCTCTTGAACAACTGAGTATAAACTTTGATAAAATTTTCAATAAAATTGTATGACTAAAAAATTTAATAAAAAAATAATATAAAATTAATTCAAAAAATGACATTGTGACAATAAATGATTAAACTTATTATTTATCTGTGATAATAAATATAATGGTCTATTCACAATTTATTTTAGTCTCATTAGAAATTTGACTAAGCTTATTCAGTAGATAAATTATTTGTTTGTCTATCCATAAAATTAGTTTAGAAACAAAAAGAAAAATAAATTTGTGTATATATAACTTTATATCACATGTAAATTACTGAACTTGATGGAAAACGTAAGATTTGAAAATTTCTTAGCAGTACAGTAATATTCAAAAAAACTACATAGAAAAATCAAATAAAATCATCCATTCACATATAGTCAAACTTCAATTTAGTTCAATCATTTGATTGCCTCTGAAATTGGCACAAAATTGAACAGAGCACTAAAGCAAAGTGTCTTAAACAATAATAATTATAAAAAGTAATGAAATCTACATAGAAGTTTGAGTTTGAAAATCATATAATTTAGTTAAAGCAATTTCACTTACAATGAAATATTATACACTTAATAATTCACTGGTATTGAAGGGTTCCTTATTTAATATTTATTGAAAAAGTCCATTCACAAGTATTCATTAGAACTTTATGAGAGTGAAACTATTTAAGAGGATGCTATATATTTAAGTTTGACTGTATATATCTATATGAAAAAAAAATTTAATAAAATTATTAACATGCTTGCTAAACTTGCCATATTTTTTACTTTTTTGTGACATATATCATATCGATTTGTTGATGAAGATATATAGAGAGAGAAAGAGAGAGACAGACAGACAGACAATATGTTAGACACAGTTAAATCACATTTTCATAGAATTAATTTTGGATTATTTCATATGATATATTCTTGATGTATATATAGAGTTTGAATTAAATAATATCAGTAAAAATATCTGTATATACTGTAGTCTCTTAAATCATCATGAAAAAGCTCATGAATAGACAAATAATTTTATTATTTACTGGAATAAATTAAATTAAATTAAATTTCTAGTANATTCATGAATATTGTTATCACTCATTTAATGTTATTAAAATTAGCATATTCCAAAACATCTAAGCTAATAATTAAGATAATAATAACCATTGTTACATTAATAGTAATAATTAATAAATCTTTAAGTTATATATTTTTTATTTAATGTCAGAGTCAATAAAACCAGAATTTTCACTAATTTAATTATTCTGCTTAACATTATCAGTATAAGCAAAACCAAAAGTGTTTACGATAAGTAGATTCTAATGAATATCCAAGTTTTGTATTGAAATTATTTATTATATATTACTGTTATTAGTTTGATTTATCTTACTAAATTTAATATTACTTACAGATCTATTAATTGAAAATAAATAAACATTAAATAACTTATTTGATTAAAAACAAAAACAAAATCATTAGAATGATTAAATATCAATAAGTAACAAATATTAATAATTATGTATTTCTTATTAAGTTAAATTTAAATCCATAAAAAAATTTTATAATGTTTATCTTATTACTCATATATTGGAAATAATATATATTAATTAATTCTAATTTACATCAAAAATTTTAATATTGTTTTTAAAATATTTTATTCTCTTTTAATTAATATAGTCCTTATTATAAATCTTTAAATGTTGATGACTAGAGCTAGGACATCTAGATACTAAAAATCATATAAGTTATGATTTTTTTAACTATTTATATGGTTTTTAGAGTCTAAATGTCCTAGCCTTATTTATAATTTATAACTTTGTGTGTTTTAACTTAGGTTAGGATATCTAGGCAATAAAAATCATAAAAATTGTTACAAAATTTGCAACTTATACAGTTTTTATAACTATTTAAGACATCTAGGCACAAAAAAGTCACATAACTTTATTGACAAGAGTAGAAACTCTTTTATATATTTAAAGTATAAAATAAAGTAAAAGTATCTAAATATTTTGTCCTTTTTTACTTTATTTTAGTGTATTCTTCAATTATTTTATGAATTTTTAAATATATTTATCATCCTAGCCCTTTTATTAATCTTTTATATAGATTTAATTTCTATAACAGAGTTTATATGTAAATTTCTGCATAAATATAAACAATAACAAAATAAGAAATGTGAATAAATTGAATAAAATCCAACATACTTTTACTGCAATTGGTGTTGCATGCTGGCTGCACAAATCGGTTCCTGACAGAAGCATCCATCGACAGATCTTCGAATCGTAAGATGTATCCAAACGAACATTCTTCATTAAAAACGAAAATCTCGAAAGAGAAAAACGAACAAAAGTCAGAAGAAGATCGATATTTAATCGCAGTCGACAAATATTTGATATCAAACATGATTTGTTTGTATTACTAGTCATGAAAACGACACAAATGTCGCTTTTGAGTGTATTATGCATCCGAAAAATATCATTTTAAATGTTTTTTTTTTAAGATCGATATATAAATTTAGTAACATTGAGTGATCATTTAGGGTTAATGAAACTCAATGTTTAAATATTTAAATAATTTTACTTACGATATAAAAATTTCGGCGATTTACGTATAACTCATTGTATATGTTTTTTTGTTTTCGATAGCTTAAAAGAGATTTTATAAAATGTCTAATAGAAGTACAGCTCAGACTTTGCAGTCGAGTGTTATCGTCCGTCGTCGTTTCTGTTATCTCCTTGGAGACAGACCTTTACGCCACCTACTGTAAAAATCTCGCTTAGAAAAAAAATAACATCGTTTCAAGAATGTTTAATTTAAAACTTTTTAAAAATATGATCGCTAGTAGAAATTAAACNAATTTTAAAAAATAATTACATTATTTTATCAAAATAAAAATATAATTATATGATTATATTTTAAACAAACCAAATAATTTTAAACTTCAATAAAAGAAAATACTTTATAAAATGTTTTTGTTATTTTTAAAGCTGCATAGTCATCAAATTGACTAGAAAATATTCGATAAAGATAAACATAATGTAATAAATTTCACAAGTTATTTTGTTATTCAAATGTGTTGTATGAATTTTGTTTCAAATCTATTACTTTTGTAATAGAAAAAATTGTAAAAGCTGATAACAGTAAAAAATGGAAAACTATACAAGCTGCTTTATCAGATCAATTTGAATGAAAATACTAAGAAAAAGAATTGTTTTACAAATTATAAAATAAAAAATTTAAATCTTTGAAAATATTAATGTAACAGAAATAATTTCTAAATCAATCAAAAAAGCTTCAAAGAAGACAGATGTACATCTATAATTCTATGAAACTTTGATTGATATAGGAGTTATTTTTATTATCAAATTATTTCAAACGAGCAAAGATTTATAACTCTACTTTTCTGAATCTTTTTTCTTTTAAATCAAAAATATAAAAATTGTAGAAACAAATTCTAAATATCTCTAAGTTAGTAGTTTAATATTCTATATTCTTCTCTTGAACAACTGAGTATAAACTTTGATAAAATTTTCAATAAAATTGTATGACTAAAAAATTTAATAAAAAAATAATATAAAATTAATTCAAAAAATGACATTGTGACAATAAATGATTAAACTTATTATTTATCTGTGATAATAAATANTAACAGTGAGTAAACATTCGTGACCTTTCACAAATACGCATCTATCGCACCTCTGGAAATACTTTAAGTCTCATTCATAGTGTTCACGTCCAAGACTGGCAACTATCCAAAGCATTCTCATTCAAAATAATGGCGTGTCAACCTTCGATCTATTATTAATCTGTTACATTAATAACTTTCGCATCTATAAAAATAATGATATATTGTAAATGATTAAAAAAATTTCTGTATTTTTCAGCGTATAAGATTCACTTCCCCAAAAGATAGGGCTTGAAAATAAAATGCGTCTTGTACTCCGGTAAATATATATAATTTTTCTTTTTTCAAAGGCATTTTTGGTCGTCAAATACGGTAAATTACGTTTTTTTACCCGCTTGTTAAATTCATAAAGATCTCCAGAAAGGAAAACAAATAAATTCCAATAATTAAAAATAATGTCGAATCTAGTTTTTGTTGATCATATTAAATAGTTTTTTTAAAAAACTTTAAACATAATTAAAGAGGAAAGTTTATGCTGACTAAGAATATTGTCTTACAGCTCACTTATATAATAAAAGCCACCTCATAGATATTTCAAAATATAGTTTTAGATAAATTTTAATTCGTGCTTTATACACTCAGCTTCTTGTTAATTAGAACTGTTGAAAAAATATTTTAATTTCGAACTGAAGTAGCCTACTACGTAAATTTCGCGGAAAGCGATGAAATTGAATCTATTGTTGATAATAACATTGATATATAAACATTACTACAAAAAGCATTTATTTTATATAATAAATATATATTTGAATAGGGCAATTATAACATAAAATATTATTTAATAAAAAATAAATATGTATATTATTTTGGTTTTTAATGCATAGCATAAGTATGTGATGCTAATATTGCCGATCTTAATTTAGCCCATTGCAGATGGAAATGATTGGCAGTGCAGTAGGCCAGTTTGAATAAGGAATGGAGAAGAATACTCATACCCGAAAAACCCACGAGAAATCTTCAGAGACCGGACAAACTTTGCATCGGATTATTTATGGAAATAGTGTAATACTTAACGAATAGAAATAAATATACAGTCCTATAGAGGTCGTCCATTAATTATGTTTACGGTATAAGGGAGGGAGGGTAGCGTAAAGTAAATCATGACACAAGATGGGGAAGGATAGGGTTGAGGCATTGTCTACCTAGACTTTTTTAGTGGCATTAGTGGCATACGAATTTGTTCTTACAAACCTACTTGCTAGTCGTCTGAATAAACTATCAATTAGAAAATATTCGCATAATTTTTTAGTCATTTCTTCAATGTCGAGGAATTTACGAATAATTGCACACGTAATTGAAGGGAAGTGTTTTGCCAAAAGTAAGTTAAATCATTGTACACAACAAGGAAGAAAGAGTCAAAAGTGGCACAAAAATTGTACACGTAATTAATGAATAGCCCCGTATAAGTTACGTCGATTTGTAGAATGCTTTAATATCTGTTTAACTATAATTTCTAATTTTAAACAATATCTGCTTATTATAAATAATATAACTATAATAAATATGTAATGATATCAAATTCGAACCAAAAATGTCATTATGAATAAATATAAACAATCAAATAAATTTGCTTTTAAATAATCTGTGCTCTTTAATGATTAATCTACAACGATTATAATAATGTGTAATTTAATACATTATTAAAATTTCTTCTAGATGAATGACTAACAGTGAGTAAACATTCGTGACCTTTCACAAATACGCATCTATCGCACCTCTGGAAATACTTTAAGTCTCATTCATAGTGTTCACGTCCAAGACTGGCAACTATCCAAAGCATTCTCATTCAAAATAATGGCGTGTCAACCTTCGATCTATTATTAATCTGTTACATTAATAACTTTCGCATCTATAAAAATAATGATATATTGTAAATGATTAAAAAAATTTCCGTATTTTTCAGCGTATAAGATTCACTTCCCCAAAAGATAGGGCTTGAAAATAAAATGCGTCTTGTACTCCGGTAAATATATATAATTTTTCTTTTTTCAAAGGCATTTTTGGTCGTCAAATACGGTAAATTACGTTTTTTTACCCGCTTGCTAAATTCATAAAGATCTCCAGAAAGGAAAACAAATAAATTCCAATAATTAAAAATAATGTCGAATCTAGTTTTTGTTGATCATATTAAATAGTTTTTTTAAAAAACTTTAAACATAATTAAAGAGGAAAGTTTATGCTGACTAAGAATATTGTCTTACAGCTCACTTATATAATAAAAGCCACCTCATAGATATTTCAAAATATAGTGTTAGATAAATTTTAATTCGTGCTTTATACACTCAGCTTCTTGTTAATTAGAACTGTTGAAAAAATATTTTAATTTCGAACTGAAGTAGCCTACTACGTAAATTTCGCGGAAAGCGATGAAATTGAATCTATTGTTGATAATAACATTGATATATAAACATTACTACAAAAAGCATTTATTTTATATAATAAATATATATTTGAATAGGGCAATTATAACATAAAATATTATTTAATAAAAAATAAATATGTATATTATTTTGGTTTTTAATGCATAGCATAAGTATGTGATGCTAATATTGCCGATCTTAATTTAGCCCATTGCAGATGGAAATGATTGGCAGTGCAGTAGGCCAGTTTGAATAAGGAATGGAGAAGAATACTCATACCCGAAAAACCCACGAGAAATCTTCAGAGACCGGACAAACTTTGCATCGGATTATTTATGGAAATAGTGTAATACTTAACGAATAGAAATAAATATACAGTCCTATAGAGGTCGTCCATTAATTATGTTTACGGTATAAGGGAGGGAGGGTAGCGTAAAGTAAATCATGACACAAGATGGGGAAGGATAGGGTTGAGGCATTGTCTACCTAGACTTTTTTAGTGGCATTAGTGGCATACGAATTTGTTCTTACAAACCTACTTGCTAGTCGTCTGAATAAACTATCAATTAGAAAATATTCGCATAATTTTTTAGTCATTTCTTCAATGTCGAGGAATTTACGAATAATTGCACACGTAATTGAAGGGAAGTGTTTTGCCAAAAGTAAGTTAAATCATTGTACACAACAAGGAAGAAAGAGTCAAAAGTGGCACAAAAATTGTACACGTAATTAATGAATAGCCCCGTATAAGTTACGTCGATTTGTAGAATGCTTTAATATCTGTTTAACTATAATTTCTAATTTTAAACAATATCTGCTTATTATAAATAATATAACTATAATAAATATGTAATGATATCCTTTTACATATAGATACTATTTTTGAATAACAACAGCTAACAGTGTTATTCAAAAATGTAACGCTGTAACAATCATAGGCGTCTGAAGAAAATTTTTCAGAGGGCATAACTTGGAGACAAATAATTACATCAATAAATTTTTATTTTTATTTACGTTTTTGGTTTTTTCACACGTAGGTATAGAATACAATAGGCTATTGCATCAAAGCGTTCCATAATAGAGGGAGTAAGGTTACATATCTCAATCATTTTTTATCTGTGGAATGTTTTACTTTATCCCAGGGGAGGGTAAGTGCCCCATTTCCCCCCTCTGCGGAAGCCTATGGTAACAGTTACATCTTATTCTTGGCATTTTAAATATCAAAGTTGTAAATTTGAAAAAGACAGCCATTTTTTATTTTGGTAAATTTTATTGCAGTAGGGCTATAGTTTATCTATTTATTTACAAGTTTTTTTCTATTATATTGTGAATTAGACATAATTGTGATTTTCGCGATAACTTTTTTCGATAAAATATAAAATTAATAAAGGCAGAGTGTTTAATTTTGTACAATGGTGTAAGATTTATTAGAGAAATTAACATATATCTTCCTAAAATGTTTATTTATTTTTAAATAAATTTAAATATCGAAAACCAATATCCACAATACAACTAAAGTACTTGTATATGGTTCTAATAGTTTAATATATGTTTTTGTCACATATTAATCTATTAACAAAAATCTTTTTCTGTTTATATTGGTATCAAGCTCATTACAAGATAAGAGTACAAGCAGCATGAATGTGACAAATTGCAATACAGTAGAACCTCGATTATCCGCCCCCGATCAACCGACCCCTCGGTTAACCGACCGTC